CGCGGGGGGGACTACATACACAGTATATAAAATTCACATAATAAAATAAACATTAACATCCAGTTTTCAAGACTCGAATGGCTTTACACTTTCTGTTGATTTTAATAAATCATACGAGTCAATCATAATTTATCTTTCATAAGTTATAAAAGTAATAATTATGTAATGTCTCAGATTATTTGATTAAAACCAGAAAAATTTTTATCCAAAATAAGCAATTGTATTATTTGTTAAATTTATTAAATATATATTTATATTTTAGGAGATATAAAATTACCATCAAGGGTACAGGAAGCCATGCAAATGCAGGTAGAAGCTGAACGAAAGAAACGTGCTGCAATACTGGAATCTGAAGGCGTTAGGGAGGCTGAGATAAATGTAGCCGAAGGCAAACGACTCGCACGAATTTTAGCTTCTGGTGCTGTGCTATTTTCATATTGAGTATAGCTTTTACTCGTAATAAACTTGCACATTGCTTTTTAAATTTATCTAAAAAAGCAATTTTAATATCACATATGTAAACACACAATTAGTGAGAAATTTAATTTATGTAACGATTACTACTGTAGAAGCAGCAAGGCAAGAGCAAATAAATAAAGCCACTGGAGAAGCCGCGGCGGTAGTAGCAGTGGCAGAGGCAAGAGCGAAAGGATTACAAATAGTTGCAAATGCCCTTGGCGTTGCGGATGCGAAAAACGCAGCGGCACTTAGCGTAGCAGAACAATATGTCAATGCGTTCAACAAATTAGCAAAAGTTAACAATACGTTGATATTGCCAAGCAACGTAGGAGACGTTCCAACGTTTGTAGCACAGGTTTGTTGCTCACTGTTCATTTGTTTTATTATTTATAATATTAAAATTGTAAATAACAATATCAAGATTTTTTGTGTGTTGCATTCTATAGGCGATGGCAATTTATAAACAAGTAATGCCAGAACACAAAAATAGTGAGCAAATGAAACAAGTAACGAGTAGTCAATCAAATGTTCATATGGAAGATTCTGATGAAACATTTGAGTATTTCAGCGATAAAGAAGAAGCTGAAAAGCATAGAAAAACAGAAGAACAAAAGCCCCGAATATTATAAATATTTATACCTGCAATAAAAAAATATTTTCATATTTTTCGCATGTTATTTAATTAAATTTCGCGATGTAAATATCATGATATTATCATAAATTATCACAAATCATTACATTCAGTCAATTTGTTTCATCAGTTAAATTTTTTTCTTATTACATCACAAACTCTTTTAAAATTCAAATACATTTATATAAATGCAAGTCGATAGAAACTGTTTACAATTGAGGTTCAGGTTTTTAATACAAGTCTCAAACCACTCGATATTTTAGACAAAGTAATATACAATTTACAATTGGCATTGTATTACAAATTGGAAGTTTTACATGGAACGTATGATATATTATAGTGTACATGATAGTAAAGATATGTTACACAAATATCCTTATGCCTATTCACTTGCGTTTCTTGGATTGCATAACTGTATTTTGTATAGACACGCCATATGTTTCTTGAGAAATTCTATTCATATAATACAGTGCAACCAGAGAGAATATTAAACAAGTTGTGGTGGAGACACGATGGATTAGAGCAGAAGCAATTAGACTTAACGTCAATGCGAAGACCACTGCAACAAAACAAAGATATATCAACTTATATCCTTTGGAAAGTATTATATTTATATATACTCTATCTACTTAAATAATTTACTTTATATATAATATTAAATATAAATATAATTATTAAATATAATTTGATAATAGCGTTTTTCATTGGCAGAACTGATATGTACTCAATGTACATTACAGATGTTGTACATTAATCTGATCTGAATAAAAAGCAAGATATCGACTGATAAAATGCTCAATATATATTTTATCAAATAGCACAACAAAATATATAATATTAAGAACTCCGCGTTTAATTTGTTTCTATTTTTATTAAACAAACATCTTTATGTAGATTTGTATACAATGGTTTTAAAGTACACTGAGTGCATACTACTTCTACCAATGAAAAACGCTACAACATTCTCTCAGTATAAATTGCTAAATCCAGTGAAATAAAAAGTAAAAAAAATTATAGATTGCACTAATTATGTATCTGGTATTAAAATTAAGAAATTTAGCAAAATTGATTAGTGTGACTTCTAAGAGACTTTCTTTTATCAGCTTCTATATACCTTCTGGAAGTAATTTCTGTTGGAAAGACTTTCCGAATAAGGTACTTTCGAGATTTCCTATAGCAGTCAATGTACACATAAACAACAAAGATCCGATCAGTCCTCCGAGAATGGTTCCCAACTGTGATGAACTGAGCCAAACTTTATACATTTGCATACCAGAGAACAGTAACACTACCAATATCGATGACAGCATAAATGACATTCCACTGCTAACAGCTGTAATGTCAGATATAACAACAATCAATATATAACTATGCTAGCAATAATATTAAAGAGTAACAAAAGATTAATAAAAATTACTATCCTTTTGCTTTATGTATATAATATGTATTGTTTGTGCATTAACAACTGCAAAGACAATTATAAACATTTTTTCTTGTATTGCATTTATTCTTGGAGCAACAAACAATTTGTTTTAATTTAATAAAATTACTGGTTCACAACGAGACTAGATGTAACTTGACAATTGATAACTCCTCTTTACAGCATGCAAGTTCTTGATAAATTTTTTTCTACTAATATTCGGTAATTCAAAAATGGAACTTTTAAAACACTGATACTTACCCATCGTTGCTAAAAAATTTGAGAATAATCATAGACACCTGTTCTTTCCTTCTTTTCTCACAGCAAGAATTTACATAAATTGTGTACAATTCCTTGCACATTCGCTGAAGTGTTTAGGTTAACTGCAGTTAACCGGCATACATACATATGTCAGCGTCAGCAACGTCAGCAGTCAGCAACACCAACCGATCAACGAGCAATGTTCAAATGATTCAAAGATGTTCCACTCATTCTTTATTGGAGATCTGATCGATTTTCGATATTTCGATTAATTTTTATGTATATAACGATATTTTTTTCTCTTATTATTATTATTATATATATTAAATAAATAAGATAATATAATTTTTTTGGACATAGAACTCATTTTCATAATTTAATTCGATCAAGTTCTGATTAATTTTGTCAGTGTTTCTAACTCATTAGCAAGATAGCTTATAATAAAAATTTAAAACACAGCTGGTACAAAATGACACATATCAATTATAATTTTTTTTATTAGTTACGCATTTTAATTTAAAAATTTGTTTCTTTAAAATTAATAATAAGATAAATTATTAACATTATTAATGAATATTTATCATAAATATTCTGTGCTAATTTTTGGGATATATTTCTCCATTTTTGTAGATATAGTATATACATATATGTTACGTAACTATATATTTATATACAGTAAAATCTTCCTCGGAGAGGATGTTTTGGAACGTAGCCTCTATATGTTATGCAGGACATTAATTTTCAGTAAACAAAAAGAAACTATAAGTAGATTAACATTTCAAAATATTAATTTTATGTAAATTTTATCTACGTTTTTATCTAATATTTTATAAATGTAATTGTACATAATGTTATTTAATAATATATTTCAGAATATTTAAGAAATGTTTTAATAATGTAATTCTGAATATTTTGTAACTATAGCACAAAAGGTTGAAAAAATGTTGCTGAGACATTGCAATATTAAATGTTGATGTGAGTGTTTCCTCAAATGTTGAATTTCTGTTGATTTTCCTATGTTGATTATCAATGTTGCTAAAAAACATTGAAATTGTAATAAAAATGGTAGACACCACTCCGATAAACTTTCACGTGTTTAAATAGTTCTTATGTTATACAAATAACTCAGTAATGTGTGATAATGTTTTGCCTATTGGGTTCGGTTTTTGCTTTCAATCTGCATAGCATATATGTTTAGCAGGCTTTATCATATTTCTGACAGCAATTTGCCAACAACATAAGATAATAAAAGCTTTTTTCATACAATGTCTTTGTGCAATAAAAAATTGATAGCAGGCTCTTAAACATTGATAGCAGGTGGAATTAAAAAAAGAAACGATTTTTTTACAAAAAGATTTAGACCATCAACAACAGTGGACGAGACTCTAGGGCTTTCTAGTCTCAATAAGCGCCATGAGTGGCTCATGTCCAATCGAACAGTGTCCAATCGTGTCAAGTAACGATAAGAGTAACTGTAAAAGTTATCAGAAAAAGTATAATTGTGTACTATATGTTACAGTTATCAGAAAAGAAAAGTAACGCAGTTACTATTAAAGTTACCAATGAAGTAACTTGTAACTGTAATTTAATTCATTATAAGTAATGAGTTATTTCCATTTTTTGGATATATATTTTTTTCCTTGTAGGATAAAAAATATTTATTCATTTGCGATTAAAGTCAACTCCGATTTTTAAATGCTTGATTATTTTGATTTTACTGAGAATTTCTTCGATTATTTGTTTCGATTATTTTTTTTATACTTTATACTGCATATAATATAACACACGTTATATTGTAGTTATATTAGTGAAGATCGGACATTCACTGACATACATATTACATTGCATATAAAAAGAATCTAAAAAAAACTTGAAAAAATTTTTCTGTGTACCTTTTGGCGCGCGGAACATCGTTCCTCTTTTTCTTTAGACACTAGACAGTCTAGACTAGATCTATACATGCACACACGTTGGAAAAAAAAGAGAAACTAAACGGTGCAAGAAGTTCAGCTATTATCGATTTTTAGCTACGCCATTTTAACGCATCGAATATCGAATTTTCAAACACTGTCAGTCTGTCACTCTATTACGCACTCTACGCGTCTCCGCAATATGTCGTGTACAAAACAAAGCTGTTCGCAAGTGAAACTAACTCTGGCTGCGGTAAATCAAGAGCAATATTGCTCGTAAGAGACAATCGATCGTTAAACGTACTTAGTGGAGTGAGCGGGCGAATGGCTTAATCGAGCGTTTTACGGTTTTACCGTTCAGCCGAAAAGATAACCTGTAAAAACCGACGCTTGGCCCGTTTGGCATTGGCACACGGAAAATGCCGCGCGCCAAAAGCTTGCCGCAGAAACTAGTCAAGGTGACGAGCTCTCACCCGTCGGCGAACACGTGGGTGTTCCTGATGAAAGGTGAAAGCGATGATTTATTGTTGTTTTATCATATTGACAATTGCAGCATGCAATTTTACTGTTGAGTGATTGCTGTGGTCGTTGTAGACGTTCCTGAGAAATATTACACATGTCTCCGTATTGTATATCGATGAAAATGTATTTTAGATGGCAATTTGGACAGCACAAGTAGAGGCCAATCGGAGATAGTGAAACTTAGACATCCAGCTTCCGACAAACCAGCTATATTTGTATTCGGAGCTGGAAATCTTACAGTTCAAGAGATTTTAATCTTCGACGAAAAGAAAAGATCTTGGTTTATTGATGATAATGTTAAATCTGATGGAAAGTTACATTTATCGACACCGATTGATCCTATCTTTTTGGCTTTACCATACTTAAGAAAGGTAATTGTAGAATTTTATTTCTATATGAGAAATTTTTGAGATATATAATTGGTAAAATAAATGTCTTTGTTGTAGTCACAATTGGCACAACCTTTGGAGCAATGTCTCTGGGATGAAGATTTTCCAGAGATATCTCGATTAGCACAATGTGACAACTTGAATCTATCCTTAATTGCCGATTGTAAAGGAGATGAATCGCTACAAGCTTTCAAGTTTAATGAGGAGAAATCGTTAAATTGGTTGCAAAAGAAGGTAGAAAAGGTAGCATATGTATTAAAAGAAAAAGGAGTTCATGTATCTCAAGGCGCTATGAGTGCCACTTATGTTAAGAGTACTAAATATGAAATTGGTACAGAAGCAGGTAAGAAAAATCATGATTATAATGCTATTTATAAAACAAAAAAGGGATAAGATAAAATATTTTAGGATTTCTCAGTATCTATTATAATTGAATCGAGATATAACAAGATCTTCAACCAATTTTTGTAGGCCACCATCTACAAGCAAGATCAATTAATTGACAAAGCACTTATCGAAAATTTTCTTATAGAATACTTAAAATATGCACATGGCATTGTGTCAGAATACCTTGCTGAAGATCTCTCAAAGAAGCTGGCACAACGTATGAATATATCTGATGAAGTGGATAGTAAAAAACGCAAACTGAATAGTCCTCAAAATGAAACGGATGAGAAGAAGCTTAAGAAAGATTCCTTCGAAGAAAGTCCAGTGCCAAAAGCAAAGAAGCAAACGAAAACTTTAAGTAAACCCGAAAAGGTTGGTTGTTAGTAGTTAATTACAATCATTTTTAGAGTGAATGATAAATATAATTCCAAATATCAAGCTATAAATAAAATATATAAATTATTTTTGCCTACTTGAAGAATGTAATTTCTTGTTGTGTGTAATACTTTTATAGTTTTATACATAACAATGATGTGAAAGATTGCATTTATTTTATTTCTTTTAAATTATGGACGTAGGAAAAATATCTATGAAATCTGTAAAGAATTTTTTAATAGTCCATTTATATAAACAAATTTAGATAAATGAAATGTAATAAAAGGCAATAGGAATCTGCATTGTAATTGTGTGCTAAATCTTCATACAATTAAATCTTTAATACAAAGAATGTTGGTCAATACATTGTCAAATTAATGATAAAAAAATATAGGTTTCGGCTAATTTTTAGCCTTCAACGTTAAAATGCAAACTTTTGCAGTAATATTTAAAAAATATATATATAAAAACTATTGTGACAATCCATCGACATTCTCTTGTAACCATCAAGCAAGAGAAATCTCATTCTGTAACCAGTTTACAAGCTGGATGTTCTGAGAAGTGTTGATGGATGTAATCACTTAAAAAGAAAACATTTAATTTGAATATATATTTTTTTTTTTATAGAAAAATACTGCCCCTGGTAAAAAAGAATTAGCCAAACAGAGAGCAGCGTCTGGATCTAAAAGCATCACTAACTTTTTTCAAAAGAAATAAATATTAAGAAAGTATAGAGAATGATTTTAAAGATTAATAATATATGCATTTATAGACATTTATTATTATGTCTCACGCATTTTAAACATTTTATTGCTACATGCATGTAATCCATATATTTAACATAATGTAACGTCCAAGTTGAAAATTGTAATAATTTATTATATTGATTATGTCGAAAAGTAGTTTTTTCCAATATTTCAATAACTTTATGTAATATTTAAACACAATATAACGTGTAACAATGAACAGTTAATAAAAGAATATAATAGCGACTAAATTCGTAATTTCTACTTTTAATTTTTAATTGTTATTTATCAAAATTTTATTAATAATGTATTAATTATTTTTTAATATAATGTATTTTAAGATGACGTCGACAAATACTGGTGCTCGATAAAATTGCATTATATTTGATCCATTTCCAGTATTTGTTCACATTCTAGCTTTAATTATCAATTTTAACAAACTATAAAAAATGTTTCTATATTTTATTAATCTAGAAAATTTTTAATTTTAGAAATAGATTATATATTAAAAGAATATAATTAAATATTTATACAGAAGTAATGCGTTATATTATTTTGTAATTTTTTTTACTACTGCACCCATAATAATATACGATAAATGTTCTGAAACAGACGATTACGTGTTATTGGGCGCATTCAGCAGAGTACGTGCTCGCTGTTGTTGGTGTATTCTTCTAAATCTAAAATTCTGATTGGATGATCTAAAAGAATACACCAATAACAGCGAGCGCTCATTCAACTGTTAAGTCTGCTAAACGCGCCCAATATCTCGTTCACTCATGTCACGCGTATACATAAATTTTCGTATCATAATTGTAGATGTTGGAAATTAATTTATTATGTTGCTTGATAAAAAGGACCGTTTGCGTTTCTAACACACAGAGTTTTCTTTAGCGGTGTTAACACACAATTTTTTTAAAGAATAAACGCAGAAAAAAATTATAAAAAAGATCTTAAACACTAGTTATTAAATCAGTTGGAGTGATAATTTCGATAAGAATCTAAATCATAAATTGGAGCTATGTAAAATATTCATTGCCAATG